TTATAGACTTTTGTAGAATTCAAAACACTTTTGAAGACTTTCATTTAAAATAGAATTCACGTGGATTTAGTACAATAGTTGAAATTATTACATACGAGGTGATGGTTCTCACAATTCCCTTTCTCCTTTCCCTTCCTCATATAATAAAAAAAAATTTAAATAAAAAATGAAGATCTTAATTCATTAAATAAATAATAATTATGCATATAAAAAATAAATTTAATATTCAGTATTCAGTATTATTAATATAATATACATTTAAAGAATAAATAAAGAGTATATACTTAAATTTAATTATAAACTAGTCTATATAAAATTTTATAATTTAATTAAAAATAGATATTTTTCACAAAAAAAAGAATGAAAAAAGAAAAAAAGTTATAAGAATACAATTTAATTTTTTCATAGAAAATAGAAAAAAAGTTATAAGAATACAATTATATATACTTTCTGCTTAAAAATTAGTACAATAAAGATTTCTATAAAAGTTTCTAAAAATCATTAAAATTTTAATACCCCAAGATTTACGAAGACGTCTAAAATTTTTTAATTGAATATACCTTGATTTTTAGAGACTTTTTAAAAATTTATAAAAGTCTCAATTGAGTACACCAGTACTTTTAGAGAGTCTCCAAAAGTTTACACTGAATACCAATAAATTTTTTAAATCCCAAAAATTCATTAAAAGTCACAATTGAATACATCTCCTAAGTTAACTTGTGAAAATTATTTCCCTTGGATTTTCCTTGGTATTATCGAATGAGATGCTTTGGGACAACCACCCTCATTCCCAATCAGGCGAAGAGAGTTGCCACGTGGTGTGTTATCATAGGCCTACATGGAATTCGCTTCCATGGTAACAATATTCATTTGAGAAATACTATTCATCCCTAGTGGGGATGCATCTCCAGTTTATGTGGCGTTGATGTGGCATTAAATGATAGGTGAAATTTATTTAATTTCACCTATCATTTAACCAATCATTTACATCCACATCCACTGGGGATGAATCTCACTGCGGACGAATAGCATTTTTCTATTCATTTAGTAGTAAGGACTCGTAGCGGAATGTGGTGTTTTTTTACTTCGAAAATTCGAAAACATTGAGTAGATGGGATTAGTTGGCAATCACTGTTCGTGCGAATGTCTAACTTATGATGGGTGCTCCCATAGGGAAGCAAGAATGACAAGGCCTTTTATTGCAAGCCTCTTTTGTTGAAGCATAACAATATTTTCCAAACTCCTAGACTAATATTAATATTTTTGAAAATGAAACAAATTTCATTGAACAAAGCAATAACCAACGGTACCCGGAGGAAAAACCTCCTACACAATGCCCAGCCAAGAGGGAAAACCGTG